TTTAAAGCGAAAAAATAAAGATAAATTAAATGTCCATGAAATCTCCCCACCTCCACAACATCACCACCGAGTTAATGTCTGTCAAGTTACTGTTGACTAAGTCAATGTCTGGAAAATTCTAGTTGTACCATGTATATTTTTTATTTTAGTTGGACCAAATAACAAGTTGTACCATGTCTCTACAGTTTTACCAAATAATAGCTAGTTGTACTCCAATCTTAATAGTTGTACATAGTAATACTATAGCACAACTGTTGTACCAAATATTACTACCCAAGTTGTACCATGGTACGCCAGACAATATTAAAGTATCTCAGACATTTGTCCATCACCACCACCACCCACTAACATTAAACACATGAACTTTAAAACATGCACAATAACATAAAGCTGAATTCCTAATCTAAAGACTCAACCAAACTCCTCCATTCATATAATTAAGCGAAAAGGAGTATTTAAATTAAAGCTTTCATTACTACAACTTCAATAATCATATTGAAATATTTGTTATTTACAAAAAACAAAAAAAATCAGCAAAACATACATAAAACTAAATAAATATATACAGAAGTGGACCATAATCTAATATTTCCTTCCTAAAAATCTAAAAATCTTTGACCTAACATTGATCTAATCCTGCTTTCTAACTCTCTCATATGTCACAATTAAAGAGTTAGGAACCTTACATAAATGCACTAGTACTACCTCTCTTTCCTTAAAAAAAAAATCCAATCCAAACTTTGCCAAATCTAAAAACCCGAATCTCAGGTTAACAATGTTGAGGACGAGCCTTTTTTAAGAAGTTTTGTTGAACCGCAACATCCTCAGCTATCTTCTTAGCATCAATGGCTGCACCAAGCAATCCAAGTTTGGTAAAACCGACCGCATACAATCCGCTTTCACCTTTCCAACCGTTAGGAAATGGTTTCCTTGGAAACCCATCTTTCTCACAAAACATATTCATCTCCTACACAAGAGAACAAATCAAAGTCAAACCAACTTAATTCAACTATTAAAAACCGTCAATAAATTACGATGTGTCAACGTCAAGGAATTAAGAATAACCAAGATAAAGACTTATCATTGCTTATGGTACACACCTTTAACCACATGGGTACGTTGCTTTTGTAACCCGTAGCGAGTATTATTGCATCGAAGTTATCCACTCTCCCATCAACAAACTCTGCCGAATGTTGCATTACCCGTTTCAACTCCGGATACACCTAAAAGTCAAAATACAATACAAAATAATCGTTATTTTTTTGTATATGTAATAAATAGTAGAATATGTTAAATCTGACATGTAGCCTAGTGAGTCAATGTGTTGCTATTAATAATATATGGTTTGAAACTAAGAGAGTGGTGAATTAGTGGCTAACACTTGTTCTATTGTGTCTCTAATTCAATACCCCATGGGAAGAGGGATATTATAAAAAATGAATAGATTAAATATTGACTAGATTAGGGTTTAGTTTCGAATTTCAACGTTATAAAAGAATAAAATAAGAGAAAGTTAATGATAACAAAAAAAAAAGACTTAGTACCTTGATGTGTCCACTTCGAATTTTGGCAAGAGTACCAACGTCCAAAACAGGAGTCTTTCCGCACTTGATCTTGCGTTCAAGAGGGCCGAGTTTTGGTCGAACTAGCCCTAACCGATCTGTGTCGCCAAGAAAAAATCGAGACATGCGTAACAAGAACCGGTCCACCACTTGCACTGGAAACCACTTGAGCAGGGTCGTGGATATACCAAAAGTTGATATACCTAGCATTTCTTGAGGTAATACGTGCACCTGCAGCGTTAGTCGACAAGTTTGATTAGCATGAACACAAGATTTGCTAAAGTTGTTGGGAAATTAAAAGAGTGGTTTAATCCGCCTAAATCAAACATAATCGTCTAACTTACACCTTTAGTGCATGCGTACTTTTCAAGATAGTAAAAGAATAAAAGAGTAAAATTTTGCTTTCTTGATCACAAAGTGGTCATTAAAGGTTAGTTTTCAAACACTAGAGCAAATGCAAGATCCTACTTTAACATCTACCATTTTTTTCTGAGACATCAAATTAACTTTTGCGACATATATAAAGATGAAAGGTTTATATGATTCTCACCGCGTCACGGACCACAAGCGAAGGGCGAGCATTGAAGTTGCAAAGATCTAAACAAACTTCCATCCCAGAGTTTCCACATCCCACAACCAAAACCTTCTTCTCTTTAAACATTTCGCCACTTTTGTAGGAGCTTGTGTGGAGGACGGGCCCACCAAAACAGGCAATTCCATCAATCTCCGGCATAACCTCCTCCGCATTCTCCCCGGTCGCCACAACAAGCCATGGGGAAGCATACTCCGTTGTCTCCTCCTTCTTTCCTCCGGTAGTCCTCACCCTCCATACCCCACACCGGCTATCAAATTTCGCATCCTCTACGGTCTGGTTAAAAACAGGCTTTAGGCCAAAATGTTCGGCGTAGGACTCAAGGTATTGGACGAACTGTTGCTTTGTAGGGTAAGTAGGGTAGCTTGAAGGGAAAGGCATCAATGGAAGCTCACAGAAATGTTTAGGGAGATGAAGTCGAAGACGATCATACGTTTTGAGCTGCCATAGTGAGGCTATGCAATTGGAACGTTCAAGAATCAAACTAGAGACGCCTCTCGACTTCAAACATGCCGCCGTGGCCAGTCCCGACGGTCCGGAACCGACAATGATTGGTCCGGCGATCCATATGCCCATAGATTCCTCCATATACGGATCATGAACTCTCTTGCCTAACGTTTCTGTTAAAAATTCCATAGAAGAGAGAAAGAGAGCCGGGAGAGATAGATCTAAAGATATACAAGAAGTGAAGTAGGTGACTGATATTGGATTTAGGTTTTTAAACCCATGTGGTAAACAAAGATTATACTCTCTTTTGTGACTCGTGGATAATTATGTCCCGAGAATCGTGGTGAAAAGAGAGAATGAGTTTCATTGATCTTATCTACAAAAAATAAAATTAAGAAGAAATAAAGCAAATAAGAAGAAGATCGGATATTCCCTAGAGATCAGGGAAAATCTATGGATGAAATATTAATCTTTAACTCGAAGATTTTGCAGTATTTGTTGTAAAAAATCTTTCACAAATTGAGATGAACAAAGATTTCGGATTTGGGATGTTGAGAGAAGAATAGTTTTGCGGTTCTGAAACAAACACTTGGGGGAAGAACCAACTCTATATATGAGTTGAAAAGAGAGATGAGATGGTGATGGACACATGACGTAATTAAGAAGAGATGTTC